GTTATGTAGACTAGATTAGCTTTCACTTTAGTTAATGAAGAGGCGATAATGTTTTCAGTAGGAATCATTAATGTGAAAAAGTATAGATTGTGAAATAATGAACGTAGCGGTCTCCAGAGATAGCAAATGGAACAGACCTCCAAAAACTTAAACAATCGCCTGTTATTTTTTAAACCAAAAATCTCCTTTTCCAATGCTCATCGAAGGGGCTACGCCGTCGCTTTTGCCTGGATTCCAAGCCATGCTTACAGGCTGGCAAATGAAGCTGTTCGAGACGGGGACATCCATCAATAGCCATGACCTGAAACTTACCGAAACGATATTTATTAAAGGCATGAAATAGAGGCTGGATGACAGATACCTCCAGTACAGCTTGATTCAGGAGTCTATCTCTCGCATGACACGGTTTAGCAAGATGAAATTTGACAAAATAATTACTCCCATTCTTTATAGGCGACGACTTGGTAGCGTAACAACTACCGCGCACCTATTCAAACTTAAAATTGTAATTGACCCTGCATGCTCATATTGGACCTATGGGGACCTAAACCATATATCTTCTTCACCTGCCCCCAATTGACCACGATATTTTCATATCCCAACTCCTGGCAATCAGTGTCCCGTTCCCACCTCCATAACAAGTTAATTGTATTCATGTAACAAAGACGTTTATTATGCATTGACCTTATTTTATCGAAAATAATAATATCAAACCTTAATATGTATGTCGATATAAAATAGCTACCCACTTACCCAACCTACCATATCTTTTTCATCCAAACTCCGTCCATACTGTACCCACACTGTACCTCTTCAGCCGTAAAAACGAATAAAAAAATGTCTCAGACGGTGTTTATCAATGTCATGCAACTAAGACTTGGCTGTATAGTGTGAAACTTTTGCCTTTTCCTTTACGAAAAGAATTGAAAAAACAACAAACAACATGTTATGTCAGTAGTTTCAATTCAATTGTCAGTTTGTTTTCGACAACTGCGTTGTGTTTGTAATGAGCGCACCCACCATGAATAATTCGCAAAGTAGAACACAAACTAAAATGCTTATTTACAATCTCCCAATCGATATAAACAGACAATTATGTAGGCTTCTTGATCATGACGATAAATGGAAGGATTTGGCTGGTTATCATATGAAATTTGATCCGTTTGAAATAATGGTAAGTTGTTCATTTAACTTATTATGCATGGGGTTTTCCTATGTGCAGATTTTTCTTTTACTTATTTCGGACTTCCCAATTGTGTGTTTGATTACGCAGGTTATTATTCTTACCTCTTAGAGCCTTTACCAATGAATATAACTATGTTATAAAAATAAAGCAATACATGAGTAAATAAATACCTACCAGATTTTGGAACGATTGGCGTTTCGGAGCGTGCAAAATAAAATCCAAAGTAAGGTAGAAAGCCAGCGCATCGTAAAATGTACGTTATTTTTGTGAAATTGGTGTTCAAATTTGCATGCAGGGAAGTGCCTATAATACTTACCACTTTCTACCACTTGAATTTACACACTTATGTGTTTTATTGTGAGATTTTCCTCATTTCATTTTGGAATTTGGTCATTCCACTTATTACTATAAGAAAGTTAGTATTAAGCTGTGCACATCTATATTTCTAGGTAGAGACTACTGTTATTAAATATTGGCAAAATTTAAATTAAAAAAATTATATTTTAAATAAATAGAATTAGTGAAATCATAGTGCATTATGTAGCTTTCTTAATGAATTGGTGTAAAGGTATGTAGAGTGACCCTTAAATGTGTACAAGATCTCTAATAGGAGTATCCATACTTTTACTACAGGGACCTGAAAAAGGGCAACTATTGAAATATTTGTGTCAAGTAAACATAAATTACAAGGGAAAATATTTATTAGGTGAACATTATACATTTAGTCGGGGAACTTTCAAAATTTTAGAGTAGTCCCCATTATAATTGTTTCTATTAATAGGTAGAGTTGCTCCCTAAAAATCTTGTACTACTTTTGGTACTTTCAGGTTTTCTTTTACGTATTACAACCAAAACTCATTTAATCAGACAGATTTATTAATAATGGTGTGTCAAAACACAAACCGCCCAGTCACATTTTGACTTTTCTTTTTTTATGCCAAATGGTAGTTTATGTACTTTCTATGAATTATTTATATTGAATGCACAGATCTGACCGTACTGTGTCCATTCAATGAAACTAGACAAAATTAGAATGAAAATGTATCCAAGTTATTGGTTTTTGTTCTGAAACTCCATAATTACAAATATTGTTTTTGGGTCATAAATAAAATTGTTTATTTATTTTAATTATTATCTTTGATACATACATTTTCCCATTATATTTATCTTCTCTATTAGTTTGCTCAATTTGGCATAAGTTTCCTGCAATTATCTTAGACTTATCTAGCAATACTTGGCCAATGTAGCCTGTTTTTTCTTATTTCATCTACCTACTTTTTACCTAAATTTTCTAAATTTTTTGAGATGCTTGAGAGGAAACCCCCTGAGCGACATTATGTCCCACATACGCATTAACGTCTGATGCATCACGGTAAGGCAAGCTCTTGGTACCACAAAGTCAAGCTAAGCTCAAGTCAAGCTTATCTTATGCTATTTATTATGTGGAATTATAGAGAAAGTGGTTTACGCAATTCAACATAGTGCGTATTTTGTGTCCTCTACACCTGTTGCTACAGTTACTCTACACCCACATCACACAGGTATAGGTGACAACCTATACCCTTCCAGTAGTCGCAGTTTCTAGGGTATTGGTAAAACTTTAGGGAGTGCCTTTGACTCTTAAAATAGTCCTGTCAGCTGGACCTGCTGGAACACTGTGGTTTTACATGTACACCTGTTTCTTTCATGTCCATATGCACCATACCTTATGGAAGGTTGTTTGTTATGCCTCAATTAATGTTTGTTATAAAAAGACTCAACTGCTAAGCCTCAATGTGTGGGTTATTATTTTAATAGATTTATTTTGTCTTATGGTGTTATCATACCATATTATCATGTCCATCTCCGTAATATGGCTTTCTCACTTTTATTTTTATTGTTACACCTTCAATTTTTGTTCTCTTTCAGGTATTATTTTGTCTCATTTTATCTAGTTACATTTGCGTATTTTGGCTTCTAGTTTTGATGTTCACTTTGGACACAAACAAGCACAGGAAGTAACTATCGTATAACTTCCTTTTGATGAGCACACTCATGTTCTCATTTGTCATGTCTCATTCTCTTGACGTCATTTAGGGACAAGAATTCCTGTTTATATGGATTTGTTTTGTTAACAAAGAACTCACCACGACTTGAAACGTCATATTAAGTCGATTCGCTGTCGACGCGGCCGTTAGGCCCTCGACTCGGCTAGCCTCATTGTCTTTAATTCGTAGGTATGAAATGTGGCCTTCGCATATTCTTCGGAGTAGTTCCATTGTAGAATAAAAATAAGTAGGGCAACTCCGTACCCAATCGCAGCGCGGCTTGTGTACACATACACATTGAAACGACCAGTGTTGTGCAACGCAAGAGTGCCTTTAGGTTATGCAAATGTGTGTACACGCATACAAGCCGCGCTGTAACGTTTAATATGGAGTTGCCATACTTGTTCTTATTCTACTATGGTAGTTCGGTCGTCGACGCGTCCGTTCTTCGGGCGTTGACGCTACTGTTCGGTTGTAGACGCAGCCGTTCGGGTGTCCATGCTGCAGATGAGCTGCCGAAAATTAGAGCGTTTGCACACTAAGGGTCGTATTCCAGAACTCTATTGAGTAGAGTTCTGGAATACGACCCTACTAGAGTATAATTTAAAGCACTGAAAATCATACTCTAGTCCTTGCCATTAGGGTCGTATTTCCAGTGCTTGAAATCATACTCAAGTGTGCTCAAGTCCTGACTTGAGCATTGAGTAGAGTTCTGGAATACGACCCTATGTCCGATTCGTATTAGTTCTGAATCCGAGAAATGACGGTCCGAAATATTACAGAAATAATTTTATCTTTAGGTGTACAAGTGTATTCGAACCGGATTTAGTTCACAACGGATTTAGTACTACATCTTGTTGCTTGGGATAATACTTCAAGGTCCAAAGCGTCATGCTTGATGTGCAGTTCACTGTACATGCGATATCTCGCTCCTTGCCATCCAAACTTATATCTTAATACCTTCCGACTTGTGAACCGCTTACAATATGTAATTTTTATACAGGGAATTGAACAAACGGCACGGGCCAAAGTAATATCGCCTACCAACCAGCTTCTCACACAATGGGGCCAAATGAATCATAACGCAAACGAATTGTTCATATTATTGCACAAAATGGATCAAGTACCAGCCATGTACTGCCTAAGATCCGTAGTTGACGAGAAATATTTGCCATTGTTGACCAGAAGACGAAATGGTGGACAAAATAGACCTGTTGTACCTGTGGATGGTATGTAATGTTTTCTTTTAAATTTACACTTTTTACACTCACGATGTTCTGCATCATCGAAAAGCTCATGGTTTATTTCAAATTAATTTTACACATCAATTCCGAGAAACCAGAAGTGCGAGCCCGGACTCAAACCCACGGCCTCTGCTCGAGAGGCGGTAGGTCTAACCATAAGCGCCCAGTTACACGAGAAGAAAGTTTTCGCGCGGCCGCCGCGCGGCTACCGCCTAGTTACCACGCCTTCATGTACATTAATGGCGATTCTTAATTCTATTTATTATGCAGCAACATTTAAATTCCTCTTAACAAAACTACCGCGCGGCCGCCGCGCGGTCGTCGCGCGGTCGTCATGCGGTCGTCGCGATCAAGCCAGGCTAGCCCGCGTGTCCGGAACGCTCATATAAATTAAAACGTAAAAGCCAAACAAATAGAGCGTATTTTGCCATGACAGTTAGACGCACGCGGTCGCTGCCCGGCGGCAACGCGGACTCCGCTCGAATAAATGCGCTAGATCTAGGGTACTCATTCTGTTGTAGATCTTGTTTTTCAATTTCGCTAAAAATGTCGATTACGTTGTTTAAGATAAGGGTAGTATTGTACCATGAGCTTTTCGGTGAAGGAAAACTTCGTGATGAGATCCTCACGAAGAAGGTTCACAACCTTCGGAAAACGTGTAAAGTTCTCAACCCGCATTGTGCCAGCGCGGCGGACTAAACCCTCATCTGAGAGGAGACCCGTGCCCAGTAGTGGAACGTATAAATGGGTTGATGATGATGGTGATGAGTTTTATACTGTAGCTATAGCGATAGATAACTAAATATGTGTTTGTTTCAGTAAACGGCAACCGTCCAGGTGCTCCTTGCAATGGTAGCTCTTCCCTTCCATTACCAGTACAGCTTCTCGAACAGGTGATTTTTTTTGACAGTAATATATAAAAAACGAGCTTGACTCGTAAGATTTAAATTTAGCTGCAATAAGAACGGTCCATATTTCAAAACTTGATTTTATATAGTAACAAAAATTAAAAAAAGTTGAAAATAGTTTAAAACCGAAGAGGTGTCAGGTATCTCGTATGACATGATGACTTTGTTACAAATCTGATCGAAAGAAATGTAGATATTTTTTATAATACAAAGTGACGGAAGTAACAATTCGTGCGCCTGCTACGCGCCTATCCGTAACAGTTGCAGTGCCACTCAGAGCTATAAATCTCAAAGATCTTAGGGGCACTGCCACAGCGCCTGTCACCCTGATACATAAGTTGACAAGTCCCATGTGCCCGAAATTTCACCAGCACCCTTACCCTTCCAATTCGGAACACAGTAATGCTCACATTACCGCTTGGCGGCAGAAATAGGTAAGGTGGCAGTACTTCCCTGGACGAACTCTTTCACTAGAAACTCTACTGTTACTAAATATATAGTAGGTGCCGAGGGTCCACCACCGAGAATAAATTACTTTGATCTAATAAAAAGAAGTGGGTCACGTCGTATAAGAAAAACCTATGCAAATAAAATTAGTTGATCATCTAACTCAGTGTTTCCCAGACTTATTTCGGTTATGGACCCATTATCATAACAAAAACTTAAATCTTGAACCTCCCAAGTAAATTAACTTTTACAATATAATGAAATGTCTGTCTTTCTGATTGGACAATCGCACGTAGGTAGGTAACTTAAATACATTTTTTTTAATTGTCAGAATTTTTTCTTTACATACAAACATTAAATCCTGCTTGCCTGCTAATTCGTGAGCGGTGCACGGCAGATCTACAAAGCGGGAGATAGTTATTAGAGTAGAATTCCGTCAGGATTTAGTCAGGATATAAAAAAATATATATTATTTATATTACTATAAAAAAAAAGTATAAGTTTGCTGGAAGACTTTAGTTCGAATCCAGCCGGATTGAAGGAATTTTTTGTAAGTGTTCCATCTTTGTGTTAATAATTATAACAAACTAGTGGACATTACTCCATCGATCGAACATTTGTTCACAAATATAATTGAATATCACGGTGGTCAAACATCGTGACATTCAACAACTTAAAAAATATGTATACTATTGAATATCGTATTGAGCTTATTTTATTAATGGTTCTGTTCTAGCAAATGGTCACCTTTCTTTCTCAAAGTCGTATCTGATGTAGCACAAAGTTACTGAAATGCTAAAAATGGACTTGTATATACAAATTTTGCAGGCTATTTTACTTTAAGCATCATATTCACACACTGGCTTTTATTTGTTCTTAAAGTAATGCATCCAAACTAATCCCTTGATAAGAAATTTAAAATAAATAGAAAGTTTTGCCATCTCCTGAATAGTCACTCTTTATAAGATACGAGTTTGAGAAAGTAAAGCGACGAAATGTATTATTGTCAAAAATATAGCTTTTCAAAACAATGGAAGCATAAACAATGAAGAATAAATAAAATTACAATTATAGAGACTTGTAAATTTTCCATCTTTTTCACGAACCCCGGATATGTTCTCCGCGCATCCTCAATTTTTTTTTCTTACCATGGACCTCTTGGATCATCCCATAGACCTATAGGCGCTCTTATGGACCACTTTGGGAAACTTGGATCTAACTACAAGCACACACCGGACACTCCAAACAACGATCGAAAATTATTTACCTACTACTTCTACATACAGCAAGGCGCTATCTGCACACTCGCAAATGTGTGCGTGAAGTGGCAGGGTTACCCATCACTTGCTCGTACTATTTATTACGTTACGTGGTCAGAGCGGCAATCTGTTATCTATAATTCAATTATAGAATCTTAATAATTACACATGTTCATTACGTATTTATATCTATATAATATTACATTTTTCATTAATTCACTAACTGGAATAATATTAAAGGTTTACTTTAAAAATTAAAACCACTTTAAATGTTATATTTTGGACAGGTACCTTTAAATAAGGTAACCAAAGTATTTGAAATTGCGTGTCCAAGTTTATCATTACCTAGTTAATAATTAGGTATATTCGCTACGTAATATTTTATCGGCAATACAAATTGAAAATTCGAGGACCTTTCTCCAGCTCACGAAGTCGTGGCGTCTTATTATATTGATATAATAAATCTGCAGTTTTTTACTTACTTCGTTTCATCATTCAAAAAACGAAAGAAACCCTCTCTTTATCCTGTTTAGATGATTATAAATAGCCGTACATGGCACAATTCACGACCATTATAAATAGTAACGTAAAATGATGTTATATATTAACGTACAAATTTCGTAATGAAGAAATGTTAACTATATTCAAATATCAAAGCCGTCTTAGAGCGAAAACGGGTCGCCGACAGCCTTGTTCTCGTTCAGTCAATGTGACCGTCAATTTGCGGGGCGTTGTGCGGTATATAAAGCTAGAGAGGGCGGAGAGTGTCTGTTCTTATTACTTATTTGTTCTCTGCTATAAGAGATATATACAGAAGTATTTAAAGCAGAGAAGATGTTAATTATATGTATAATAACTATTACAGGGTAACCAACTTCCCTCGTCAAGCCACAGTCGTGTCTCCGTACCGAACAGCGAAGATGAGTCAAGCTCTGTCGGTGTAAGTGACCTCTTCTTATTATAATAACTTTATTTAATTTCCGTAAGCATTCAATTTTACATCCTAAATGTGTGTCATTGTGGTATGTTATGCTGTGATATAGCGGGCTGGTTACTTGCAACTCAATTTTTTGTTGTTTTATTTGATTATACAAACAGATTACAAATTCGTTTAAGAACTAAAGCGATGTAACATAAACCCTATTGGGTTTTACCGTACGTCGTCTTATCGTTTCACAAGTCTTATTTGTAATATTAAATTGCTTTGTTATTAGGAGTTATTTTTCTACTACGTTTTTTTATCATAATTGCGACGGTAATCTTAAACGTGCGATTGACTAATGAACTTGTCCGCAAAGTGGTGTGCGTGCGTATATGCATGAACTACTTTGAGATGTTGTGGTTGGGACTTAACTTTTTGTATCGCCTCTCTCCGCTTGTATCCTATCATTTTTTATTTTACTAGTATTTAAATTTGAAATTTGAATTGTTCCATCTTCCTTCGCTTTCTCATTCTATTTTCGTACCACGGTCACTCCCTGCTCGACCGCCACAACAGTCGGAGCTGTTTCAAATTCCATCGCGTATAATCGCTAATTTTGGTTCTGTACTACGTTTATAATCGTCATTAAATAAGCTAAATCATGTGTAATAATCTATAACAGTCTACAGCATTTATGTCTGTAATTCAGTTACTCGGCCCATTTAGGGGTAAGTGCCTTAATCACAAAGTGTAGGGAGTGTTTTATACTGTTGTACCTGTTTTTTTACATTTACCTTTTTATTGTTACAGCCCTTTCTTTTAACTTTACTTCTTTTACTAAATTTTGTAGACCGGAAGTTTCCCGTTTCATTGCCGTGAACCTGTTCACGGCTAGTTAGGGTTTCCCGACCCTTTACTAACCCTTTCAACTTAACTAGGAAGCTACTGGATTCAACAAAAGAACTAATTCCTGGGCATGTGTTAGTGCTCCTTACACAGGTTAGATCAGTTACACCAACAAATATTCCAATTCTCACCTCGCCCACCTCGCCCATCAGCTCGCTCGTCAACCCAGGCCATTTCCACCGAAGGTGCGTTAGGATAGAATTAAAATTTTGCCTTACTAATTTCAATCGTCGTCACTCGCCGATGGAAAAGCACATTTAGACTACTTTCTTTACAGCAGTACTTCCCTGGACGAACTTTTTTCAAGGTGCTCTACTACTACTAAAATCCAGCTCTTCCAGCGATAGCAATGTCGACGTCGGTCGGCAGTTGTTTGGTTTTCCAATTTTCCATTGCAAATGTTATGGATAGGCGTGTTGCTTACCACCAGGCGCACGAGTTGTTCGTCTCGTCATTTGGTGTTAAAAAAATTTTTATTTGTAGTTTATGTTACGGTACCGTGTATTTTTAATCGACTTCAAAAAAAGGAGGAAGTTCTCAATTCGACTGCTTGATTTGATGATTTTTTTTTTGATGATTTTGTTTGTTGGAAAGATTTTGTTTGTTGGAAATATTCATATATATTAAGGGTAGTAAACTAGGGGATGAATGACTTGATGTCGGTTTTTTTAGTACTCTGTACTGAGATTATCTAATAAAACTTATAACTTTCCAGAACACCTCTTCCACTCATGGTGTAGGACAATCGCGCGACAATGGCGCGGAGAACGACGACTTTATAAGGCAGCATGTGTCCGCTATACCGCTCCTCAAGTACGAAGATCTTAGGGAGTCTACAAACAACTGGAGCAAGAGCAATTTGCTTGGACAAGGCGGATTTGGACAGGTTTATAAAGGTAAATAATTGATGAAAATAATTATTTCCTTATTTTACTCTTAGGGTCGTATTCCAGAACTCTACTCAATGCTCAAGTCAGGACTTGAGTATGATGCAAAGCACTAGAAATAATACTCAAGTCCTTGCCATTAGGGTCGTATTTCCAGTGCTTGAAATCATACTCAAGTCTGCTCAAGTCCTGACTTGAGCATTGAGTAGAGTTCTGGAATACAACCCTTAATCTCTGTGAAGACGTATGAAGTCCCTAATCCCAAATCAGTATTTGCTCCAATACCGTAACGGTCTTTAGGCCAAATGATCTTCCTAGAGGTGAACCGTCACCAGCAGCGGGACGTACGTAGGTTAAATGTTAAGCACTTTTATGCATGTACAGTATATGCCCCGAGACACCTGACCTTTTGATTCTGAGAACCTAAGTAGGTTTTTTATAATATCAAGTGACGGGACGAACAAGTCGGGCGCCTTTTGGTAAGCTGCACGCCTGTCCATAACAGTTGCAGTGCCACTTAGAGTTTTAAACCGTAAAGATCTGCCACTGCGCCTGTCACCTTGATTCAAGATTACATGTGTGCATGTAATTTCACTAGTACCCTTACCCTTCAAAACCGAAACACAGTAATGTTGACATTACTGCTTGGCGGCAGAAGTAGGTAAAGTGACTTATTAAGGTACTACCCTGGACGAACTCTTTCACAAGGAGCTCTACTGCTACTAAAAGCTCTACTGCTGTTACGTTCGCACTTGTTATTAAAATATGTATTCTGTATTTAAGTTAAAGATTAGCTTAACAAGTTTCTTAAAACACCATCCACTTATGACGCAATAAAGGAGTCAAACCAAAATGAATTTGCAGCTCACAGGTTAATGGTTAAGTTCGTTTAACTAAACACAGAACCAAATAGTCGGTTGGAGGGTCAGGAGGTCTACCACGAAACACGATACTACGTGACTGCGTCCGCAACGAAGCTCATAAGTACTGTACAAATGTCCGTTTTACGATGACAGTAATGTCATATTAAGCCTTCGAATTATATTTTTATACTCGTTTAATTTTTTTTCAATTTATCAGAAATTTTTCCCGAAAAATTTCTAATATTTGAAATTCTTCGGAAAATTACGTAACAGTAGTCGCAACTAGATAATAAGCAGTCATATTGACACACTGCAAAATTCATATAATAACCGGCAATTTGTCTCACCATCGCACTGAGTCTTTCAACCCTGACGTTGGCGAAAACGTCGCGCAATACGACGGCGCTATACACCTCTCTAAAACTTAAACTTGAAACTAATGTCTAAATTCGATACGATAGCTGTCATTTGACGTTTAAGAATAAGTATCCACAAATACTTATGTCAAATCACGATCTTCGACCGTTGCTTCGCATGTCGTGGTATACCTTCCAGGCATCATAGGGTATCGATTGTACATAGTTGATGATTATTATCCCAAGATTGCCTAGATGAAATGGCTTCCTAGGTTTGCCTGGAAGAATGATTTTTTTTTAGAAATAAGTCGCAATGACGTCATTAAGCTATTGACGACAATAAGCTATTGAAAAGATTTTTAACTTGACTAAATCTTATCAATTGTTGAGTGACAAGAGACGTGCTCGTATTTCTGATCCTCTACTAAAAATGAGACTATGCTCAGCAGTAACTAATACCATTTTAAAATGTACTTTTTTATGATACCGAGTTACCTGGTGGTAAACGACACGACACGTAGCAATTCCAGTGCTACTGAGAGCTCAAGATCGCAGAGACCTGAGGGGCACTGCCACTGAGCCCTTCACCCTGAGACATAAATTGACAAATCCCATGTGCCTGTAATTTCACCAGCAACCTTACCTTTCTTGGCTGCAGAAATAGGTAAAGTTATGGAACTGAAAAATTAGATAAAATAATATGTTTTTATTAACTATATAATTTTATTATTTATTTGGCTTTGGACGATCGCGATCGAGTCAGCTTCCGTATTTTATTAAATTTATCTTTAAATGTTAAACAAACAACATATGAGTCACTCATTCATTTGAATATATAACAATTCTAAGTGTAGGAGAACAGATAAGTTTGGGATGAATTGAAGAGTTATACAAGGAAATAAATTATTAAGTAAATAAAAATGCATCATATTTTCTTGAAATCTTGTCTCTTTGAACTTCAAACTGTTGTTACCGTAAGTGAAATTAAAATCTTATCGCATTTGAAACCAAATACTGTCGTAACTCAATTAATTGTGAATTTTATAGAAATCCACAATTTTGAGTGACGACAGGATTTGATTTTGTGTCAAGCTTCGTAGATGATGATGACAAGTGGCAAAGATCGAACATACATAGAAAAATTCCTTTGATCCGGCTGGATTCGCACCAGCACCTGTTTGCCAGACTGGGGCTAACCACTCTTACCCTTTTAGCTGTGACACGTATCAGCAGATACGACGAATTTCTCTATGTGCGTGTTGCAGAGCTTTGTATTTTTATTTAAACGACTTTGGCCGTAGCGCCATCTGTAAAAAACCTATGTAGGTTTTTTTATTCTACTATCTTCATTTCACATTTAAATTACAATGACAGCATTATTTTTAAGTAATTTAAGTATATCAGAATAAGATACTGTACAACTCGCGGCCTTATTGCCGTGTAGCAACTTATCCAGGCAATCTTATGGTAGATACAATTATTCGAGTCTTTCCACAGGTGAATGGAAGCTCTTGACGGTGGCAGTGAAGCGGCTGGCGAACAATGACGGCAAGAACAGAGAGCTCATTAGGGAGATGTGCCTCAACCAGTACCGACACGATAATATACTGCCCTTATACGGGTACAGTCTTGGTGGTAAGTTTTTAACATTTAGTATTCGTGTTGTTATCACGTGGGTAGAACTTGTGTGATACTTTAATGAGTATGGACTTGGTGATATTTTTTTGCAATTCATGGACATAGATTTAACTGCTTGAAGTTAAAACTTGTGTTATCTATATAACAAATAACTGTTCTTGGTTTGGGTTCAGAAAAATCATATTCTTTTTGCATGTAGAGGGTAACAAGGTACCAATATAGTCTTATTCGACGTATTTTTGGCAATTTTTCTCCGAAATAGCTCGACTGATTTTGATAATTATGTTGATTTTATTAATTATTTATGTTCATTTATGTTTATTATAATTATTAATACAAAGATCAAATACAAAGAAAAGTTCTTTCGATCTGACAGGACTCGAATCTGCTTCTCTATGCCGAATTAGGGCCACCCCTCTACAAACGAAAGTGAGCAGACGTAAGGCCTGCTGACTTGCGATAACGATGAGTTTGATGTGGTTTTTTTATTTGGTTAGTTTGATATGGTTTTTTATTAGATTTAGTAGAAGTAGAGCTCCTTGTGAAAGAGTTCGTCCAGGAAAGTACTGCCATCTTACCTATTTCTGCCGCCAAGCAGTAATGTAAGCATTACTGTGTTCCGGTTTTGAAGGGTTTAGGGTGCTGGTGAGTTTACGGGTATATGGGACTTGTCAACTTATGTCTTAAGTTGACGGGCGTAGTGCCATACCCCTTGGATCTTTGCGAGCTCTGAGTGGTACTGCAACCGTTCAACCCGTCACTTGATATTATAAAAAAAAGATTATTTTGATACGGTTTTATATTAAGTTATTTTGATATGGTTTTTTATTCGGTTATTTTGATATGGTTTTTTTATTACGATATTTTGATATGGTTTTCGACTAAAAAACGTTCAATAAACGCTGCAATAGACAGAATTATTGTCGTGAAATTTTACAAGTGTTTACTTCGCCAGGTCCAGAAGCATGTCTGGTGTACCAACTAATGGCAGGAGGGTCGTTGGAACAGCGTCTGCGATGTAAAACGCAGCATCCACCCTTGTCGTGGTCGCAACGTCATCGAATCTCTCACGGCGTCGCCAGGTGAGAATACTTACTAAAAGCCAAAAGATATTTTTATTACTTTTGCATTATTGGATTTATAATGGCGTCTTCATAAAGTCTCATAGTAAAAATTATATGAATGAATGAAATATTCTTTATTGCATATTAGTAAATTACAATGACAACACGGACAGTATTGCATCATAGAATAAGCTAATGTACAACAGACGACCTTATTACAAAGTAGCGATATCTTCCAGACATACTTTGGAAGTCTATAAACACATGGATACTTGTTTTTTAACTGAATTCAATAAAGGGATGAGGTTCTCAATATTATTTTTTTTGTATATATGTTACACGATAACTCATTTGGGCCAATGCCCCATTTAAATTGGAAGAAAAATCTCTAAGACTGGCAAATTAGGGGATAAAGCCAGTTCTGGTAATCGATTTCAATATAACTTGGCAAATCGATGTAATACCACGAACTTTTGAGGTCTTTTTTATAAAAATATTATAATTATTTTAAATTTTTATTGAATTGACATTCAATTATTTTTTGTGAAATTATTCCACTAGTTTGTTATATGTAGTCTCTCGCCAGGGCTGGTAACTGTAAAGATATCTAACTGGGTGATAAAAATGTCATAGATTTCTCATAGATGGCGCTACGACTAAAAAGTCGTTGAAAAACCAAATACAAAGATACGACGCAAGCACATAGAAAAATTCGTGAGGTCCGCTGGTTCGTTCCGTGGCCTAATTGGTATAGCGTCTGGCACGGTAAGCTAGAAGACGTCGGTTCGAATCCGGCCGGATCGAAGGAATTGTTTCTGAGTGTTTGATCTTTGTATTAATAATTATAACAAATTTATAATTATTTCTGATAATACTCCAATAGTTTCTTATTATTATTAGAGTCATCATATACCAATTTTATATGTTAAGATGTGCAGCGAAGTTTATGAATTTATTTTTGAAAGTATTATTGAAGAACAAATTCCCCTGAGAAGAATGAGTAAAAAATTCTAGGGTGTTGCTCTTTATTAATAAACATTAATAAACATTTGCACACGTCATTGGTCGAAAAAACTTGTGAGAGGTACGCAGAAACAGTAGAAATAACCTTTAGTATAAAGTTTTTGTTTCTCTGTAGTTATAAACATCCTAAATGACAAATTTTTAATGTCAAGAGAAATGTATTATAGATATTTTTTTTTTTGTTTGTTAACTCTACTAGTTTTGTTATGATTATTATTAATACAAAGATCCAACACATACAAACATTTCTTCTTTAGCGGCTTTTTTAGTACTCTGTACTGAGATCGTTTGTAAGACCTTTATTCAATAATATACCTAAAACATTTGATCTAGCCTTAATGCATATATTTATTTCCAGGGGTCTCCTATTTCTTCACACAATGACTGGCACGCCATTGATCCACGGCGATATTAAACCGGCCAACATCTTGCTTGACCAATGCACTATACCCAAGATTGGCGACTTCGGACTCGCCAGAAAAGGACCTTATGGTGAGGAGAGAACGCATCTTAAGGTTTCTAGGTAAGTTATACTATATTGATACATGCACCGTTTGGAACAGGCTGCTTTAAAATTGTCATAAATAATGGTCGGATATTCGGATGCTTTAAAATAAATAATAAAAAAATAAAAAATAAAATGTTTTATTCGTTCATTTTAAAGGGCATAGTACAAGGGCGGGTGTTTCCTTTTAGACTTGTTAGGGCCTGTGTTAGGAAACGTCGCTCTTGTATAATATTAATAGTGATCTTGCTCTTATATTATTTTAAGATGATGAAACAGACTATCTTAATATCTACTATAACTGGTGTTACAACTAATACAAATTTCACTAATTACAGTAATTATTAACTTTTCAGACTAAAAATAGATTAATTAGCGTTAGTGTGTGCGAGTGCGCAAGTATGTGTCGTTAAGTTTGGAATGTGTGAATGAAGTGTGAAATACATGTGTGTCATCCTAGTTGATATCCGTTGTAGTTCAAGCTTCGTTGGCATATCGTCTGGCACGGTTAACTAGAAGACGTCGGTTCGAATCCGGCCGGATCGAAGGCATTTTTTCTAAGTGTTCGATCTTTGTATTAATAATTATAACAAACTAGTGGAGTAATTTCACAAAAAAGTAATTGAATAACATTCAATAAAACACTTAATTCACATTTTATTATAATTTTACAGTTCTTAATTTTTTTACTTACAGAGTCCACGGCACCCGAGCATACCTCCCCGACGAGTACCTCCGCTCCCGCTGCCTGTCCCCAGCTGTGGACGTGTTCAGTTATGGGGTGGTCCTAGTCGAGATTGCGACCGGTCTCCGCGCTATACTCCCCCCGCCACCCGACCGGCCGCGCGAGCCTCTGCTGCTTAGCGACCACATACATCAGTTGGCTAATGATAGAGTTGATTTTAGTAAGTATAAGCCGATAAATCACCAAGAGGAATCTTGTGCACGGAAGTGGGTGACTAACAGTATATTAACTTGTTCATGGATAGTATCGGCGTTTACCATAAAATTAAATATTAGAAGATGATAGTATGCTTTATTTTTTTTGGCACAGTAACAAAATACGAATTATATAATACAAGTAAAACTATGACACTAACCAGAAACAAACAAATTTGTAGCTCAATAACAACAGCGTACAACATGCAAATAACATAGTTTTCCGTGTAGTGCCACCTATTGCTTCCCCATAGAGAAATATGACCTATGTCCTGCCAAAATTCAATTTATTCTCATTTGTGATATTAATGTGTATAGTGGACACGGACGTGTATGGAGTATGGATTGACACTTTCTGACAGCGAAATAATATGTAACTATTTTTTAACCGACTTCAAAAAAGGAGTCCTCCTTTTTCAGTTCAGAACGTCCGTTCTGAAGTATTATTTTTATGTATGTGCCGCGATAACTAATTTTTTTGGCATTTGTGAATCGATTTTGAGGATTCTTTTTTTGTTGAAAGAGGGTACCTTAGTAGTGGTCCCATTTAAATTTGAAGGAAGTATTCAACCTCTAAGGGTGGCAAACTAGGGGATGAATGGCTTTTGAGGTCGGTTTTTTAGTACTCTATACTGCGATTATTTGGCTTTTTAGTAATAATTCTATATGACACAACGACGATCATCCTAACGCGATCAGCCGTCTGTGTTAAAGCGTAATTATTATATTGAATCTATATAAGCACCACAATGCAAATAAAAGCACGTAACGAATTAAGGCAAACTGCCTCCGTTTGGTATGGTGGTCTGCCACGCAGAGGTCCCGGGTTCTATACTCACGCCGGGAGAAATATTTGTATGGCCTGCATTTATTTCTCTCGTGAGTTTGGGTGTAATTTGTGGTTGTCTACGTGTGCGTCCATGACACCCACGGCACAGGGTTTCCGCCACACTAGGCTATGAGTGTGTGCATTATTTATTTAGCAACATATCTCTCGTTAGCAGTTAAGGAAAACATAGCGATTAAATCGATCTATTCCAATAAGTTCAACTAGGTACATCTTTTCAAAAACTTAAACTTATTGGACGAAATTGATCCTGTAGTTCAACTTACAATTATTTAAATAATAGCTCAATGTAGAATGTATGTTATTGACGCCAATGTTCCAAAACCAAAGGTACAGTTTGTATTAATAATTATAACAAACTAGTGGAGTAATTTCACAAAAAAAATAATTGAATATCAGTTCAATAAAAATTTAAAATACAGTGAATAGCGACGTCTCTCGCCAGGGCTAGTAGCTGTAAAGGTACTAACTGGTTGGTAAAAATTTTCATAGATTTCTCATAGATGACGTTACGACTAAAAGGTAGTTGAAAAACCAAATACAAAGACACGACGCAAGCACATAGAAGAATTCGTGAGGTCCGCTGGTTCGTTCCGTGGCTTAGTTGGTATAGCGTCTGGCACGGTAAGCTAGAAGACGTAGGTTCGAATCCGGCCGGATCGAATTTTTTCTGAGTGTTCGACCTTTGTATTAATAATTATAACAACATCATGTTTAACTTAACATGTTATCAGTTATACATTGAGCTATTATTTAAATAATTGGAAGTTGAACTAACAGGATGAATTTCGTCCAATAAGTTCAACTTTTTGAAAAGTTGTACCTAGTTGAACTTATTGGCACATTTGTATCAACTGATTGAACTTATAGTTGAACTTAGTGGAATAGACCATAAAATCTGCATATCAGAGAAGGTTTACAACCGTTAGAAGCTTATGGGTTGTATCTAATAATCTGTATTAGCACGTTTTTGACTATGGCCCCCTTTCCGTGGACGAGACCCGTGCCCACCAGAGGCACGTAATACAGGTTAATGAACTTGACTTTTATGCCATTAAAAAATTTACATACAAATTGAACAAATAACGAATTTAAATTGGTAAGGGCAGTCGAAAAATCATTGACTTTGATAATTATGTACTGGGGCTTTACTATGAACTCAGTTGACAAGTCCCATGTGCCTGTAATTTCACCAGCACCCTTACCCTTTAAAACCGGAATGCAGTAATGCTGACATTACTGCTTGGCGGAAAAATTAGGTAAGACGGCCTGGACGAACTCTTCCACAAGGAGCTCTACTGTTACTAGAAAAGCAGTTTTCGTACATTCGTTCTACTGAAAACCGAACCCGTGACCTCGTTTAGCGCGCAAAGTGCATGTTGCAGGTACGCCGAGATTGTAACATAAAATTTCTCTTTCCAGCTACCCTAGAAGACCGTATGATAAGCGGTACTCAGCTGTCAAACAGTCAGCTATGCAAGGAGTTCATCGAGATTGGAATCCATTGTACCGCCGTGTCGCGTCGCGAAAGACCTAATATGATGCAGGTGTATAAAAAGCTTGACGCTATGAATTTTCCTGGAAGGAACACTAATTAAGAATTGCAGCATTTAGACGTAAGATAATAAATAACAGACGAGGGTGTACAGGGTGTCCCACGGCTATGCCGCACGGAGGGAAAGTGGCCTATTCCTCTAGACCCTACCAGCTATCACCCTGGTCCCCACCATCACCCTGGTGGGGATAAGAGATTTTTTTTTCCCACTCTTCCCTACCACACCGTCACTGGTTGGGATAAGCAAAATTTCATTTCCACTTATCTTTACCCAATCGTGAGAAAGTACCATAATTTGAAATGATAATGTCAGTTGTTATGAGCGCAGCAAAGTCAGAAAAGGCTATTAACTTTCCAGAACAATATTTCAAATTATATGTAAAATTTCATGGTCTTCCTTTTATTTAAGATGCTATGTTATTTAGAAGAAAACAATCCTTATGATTGAGTCTTTCGATAAGTATAGTAAAATTACAGTTGTTTATTTTTACATTTGGCGGGTTCGATTCCTGGTTTCAGACAGGCGATTATTTAAAAATCTTTGAGTGCAGATCGAATTGTTTTTTAAATCAATATGAAGTCTTCTTTCAGTAAAATTTTCTATCTACTTTATTTGAGGTACTTTCCCTCCGTGTGGCATAGCCGTAAAACACCCAATATAGTAAATACTCCACGTTTCCCGATACTCAATAGCTTGCATAAGAAATTTATTTTTATACAGGGTTACTTGTAAAATACTCCCAAGACCATAATTACTAACACCGTAAACAACAACTTTTGTTCCATGACTTTTTACAAAACATAATAAATCTATTACCATTAACATTGGTAGGTCAATGTCTATTACTGATTTTTTTTAATTCCACGATATTTTACCACCGCGATATTCATATATTTTTTTGTAAAATAACTTCACTATAGTTCATTTCACATACCATGATTCCGGTGACGTTTGAGAAGACATTTTTACGTTAATTTCGTCGACCTGCTAACTCAGCCTGTAGGTCAGTAAGCAGAGCGCCGCTACGGTACAGCGTGATCACAGGTATAAGTTCTGTCAGGTCGAATGAATTTTCTTTGGTTAATAATTATAATGAAATTATCAAAAATAAACTTCAAAAACTTAATTTTTTTTTTGTATTCTCTGACACTTTTTAGATATGTATTAAATTCAAAAGTGCAAATGTTCTCCCAAACCACCCCACCCCCGCTCCTTCGTTTAGCATCGGACTTGTACCTATCTATCTATCTCTCGTTACCGCATACAATCACCACCGTTAAAAGCTATTTTTATTTATTTATTTTTATTTTTGTACGAAAGTAAAAAAAATCTGATAAATTATTAAAAGTCATGGAACAAAGGTTTTTCTTTACGATGTTAGTAATATAATACTGCGTGGTTATTAATATTTTACAAAATATCCTGTGTATATATTTTCAATTATTATATACCAGCTGTGTCCACGATTCCGTAATCGCGTAAACAAAAATTTTAAAAACTGATCATTTTCCTAAACTTTTTCGTTTAATTACGATATTGGTTTAAACTTGCGAAAAGAAAAAGACAAAATATAATTTTCTATTATTATAAACATAATGTTAAAACTAAATGTCTATCATCGATTAATTTTTAAATTGCCTTTACTTTGAATTTGTAATTAAAATAAATGAAATTAAAAGTAATTAAATACAACAATTATAATGTACTACATACATACATATAATAATATGTCTTCCAAACTATTGGTGCTATATTAAATTGAAGTTAATAATATTACTTGTTATGAATGCATTTTAAATATTACATGCTAAAAACATGTTTTCGACTGCTAAGAATGTTAATATTAAGGTTAATTGATAATTGTATAATTATTGTGATGTATTTTTTTAATAAACAATATTAATACATGCTTTTGTTTGTCTGTGTACTAAACTACACGAAACGGTACTAACAAGGATTTTTAAACTTTTGAAGATGGAATATAATTGTCATAGCGCAAAAGTGTTGCCCTAGTGATAGCAGTCGATTAATATTCTATCGAATGTCAACTGAACATTCGTCACGCTTATGCAATATATAGCCTAACTTATTTCATTTGAATCATCATGGGATCATCAAATTTTACCTTTCGTAATATATCGATAAAACTGTCGACAACAACTACGTGACCATATAAAGTTTTATGAAAACTGGTAATCCTGCAAATGTCGTTTCAAAAAAGACAGAACAGATATAGTTATCATCGTTGTTTTTATTAATTAAACATGTACCCCATACATGAGATACAACTGTTGATGATGTTTCTATTATGACTAATTAAATTAAAGAAGGCCGCATTTCGATTACTTACCAAAGCGCGTCAGTATTTGGCTCAATTTATATTATTACGGAATGGAATAGAAGCGAATTTTTGTAACCCAATTGTACATTGTGTAATGAATTTTATGTCCATTGTGTAACGTACAAAAGTTATTTAAAGATAATAAAATAAAGCAAAATATTTGTAGTTCCAACCATTAATGTAGGAAAGTTAATCATGTCTTTGTAGTTTATTAGTCGTTGACACACTATTACACCAATTCTAATAATATTATATTAAATTGGTCTATACACGATGTCTACAAGAACATCATTGCTAATAAGTTTAATTTCAACCGCATTGATACATAGCAATTGACTATTTTGTAACCTTGTGCTATAATAAAGGTAAATGTGATCATACGTCAAAAGTCACACGATCTTGTGAGTATAGTGTTCTGTGCACATGATAATCTTAAAAATAATACAAATTAGGTACATGCAACAAATTATATGTATATGTGAAATTGTATAGGTAGCTCTCCTATTTAAGCTTAAAAAAGTTCCGATTATTTTCGGGAGCGATATTATGCTACAGAAGCCCCCGTAGCGTGGCTACGCGTGATAGACGCGCGCGATAAAATTGGAATAAGCGCGCGCTATTGGCTGTCTTAATCAGATCTAATTTAGATAGACAATAGCGCGCGCTTATTTCAATTTTATCGCACGCGTCGCGATTATCATGCGTAGCCATGCTACGGGGGCAGATCATATTAAAAAGTGACTAACATAATTCCACTTTTAAGATTGCCATTCGCAGCAAATTAAAATAAAAGTAATTATAAAATAATTAATTTACGATAGCCTACAGTTTTATTCTTTCTTTGGACTGTCCTATCCATAAAATGCCTGTGGCCTACTTATCGGTATTCCATAGGGTATATCACGATGAGTGTGCGAGGGAATTGCACGAATTATTTCTGCCTTCCCCTTTCCATCATCGGGGGACCAGGCGCAGGCTGGGGTTCCACCCCTATGTTGTGGATATACCGCACGAAGCGTTACACTTCCACATTTATATAGCGAACGGCTGCGGAGTGGAATTCCCTGCCTGCAGACTTGTTGCTCTTGTGAACGTTATAACTTGGACCTTTTCAAGGTGAAAGTGAACAGGCATTATTTAGGTGTGTACGCTCCATTGTCGACTTCATCGTCACTTTCCATCAGGTGAGATGGGAGTCAAATACGCACTTATTTTTTTTAATAAAAAAATCTCTCACAGATGTCGCTACGGTGTCGAAAGGCGAAAACTCTATATAACAAACACATAGAAGAAATTCGTCGAACTTAGTTAACTCGATCTGTAGCTTAGTTGGTAAAGCAATGGGGACGGCATCCCGTGGTCGCAGGTTCAAGTCTTGTCGGCTTGTAGGATTTTTACTCTGTGTTCCATCTTTGTGTTTAGTACCTAATTGTAACAAACTAGTGGTGTTATTTCACAAAAAATACAACAAACCAGTAATGTATGTCCTATCCCCATTTCTAACTTTTAAATTTCTTTTCATTATCTATCATCATTCTAGATTCTAGATCAATCATTATTATATCCGGGAATGTCACATGAAATTTTGAATTTATTGTTTTGCGTTTACAAATGCTCAAATATTACGAAAGGTGAATTTCCACAGAAATAAATAATATTTGTAATTTGAGACTATATAAAAATTTGGTTTTTCAACGACTTTTTAGTCGTAGCGCCAACTATGAGAAATCTATGATATTTCGTCACCCAGTTAGATACCTTTACCAGCTACCAACCCCGGCTATTCATTCATTCGGCGGGTATTCATTGAATGGAAATTTTATTGAATTGATATTCAATTGTATTTTATGTGAAATTACTCTACTAGTTTAACTAAAAAGTCGTAAAAAAACCAAATACTTATTATTAAATGAACTTACCCTAACGATGTATAGCTGAAATATCATTAAACAATTTCAATATTCTAAAACTGGGTTATGCTCTTTTATGATATCAAAAAAATATTTTTTCACTTAACCGCGTTATAGTTAGCGGACGGCAGTTATTAACTTCAGTTGTGATAAATAATTTTGTACAATGAAACAAAAAAGTACTTAGATATTCAAGTTTATAATTTAAATTTCTTACATAATAAACGAAAATGAATTAACTTTCAAAAACTTAATTTTATTTTGGCTTGCAAATCGTAAGTACGTGGTTGGTTTTGTTAACTATTATTAAGTCATAAGTATATCGACACTGGAAAGCGATCTTGTCGTATCTCGAAAAATAGGCCTTTGCACCAGGGCCGAAAAACTATTTCAAAAAATTATTTCTCTTTAATTTGAATTAGTAGAAAGTCAATTTTAAAGTATGATGTATGTAATCATACTTTGTACACCATACAAATTTGTACGTAAATGTACGTTATACAATAGTTTCCCCCGGCCCGGGAATTGAACCTGGGGCGTGGCAGTCCGGCATGGTAACTGTTCGGCCACGAAGGCAGTTTAAATAATGATTATTAGACATATTTTTTTTTTAAATTAACCCATTATGTCCCACTGCTGGGCAAAGGTCTCCCCCAAAATCCTTCATTGCTCCCTGTCTTTGGCGACCTCCCACCACTCTCTCTCAAACCCATCAAAGTCGTCTCGGCAACGCCTTCTCGGTCGTCCACGCCGCCTCTTTCCATCCTCGATCACTCAAGGAGTGACGACGTTCGCTCACCTCACAGGTTGCATCCGGCTAACGCGGCCCGCCCAATCCCACTTGAGCCTGGCTGTTTTACTCCCCACACCATCAGTAATGCTAGTCATCGAACGCAGCATTGTATTGCGTACTCGGTGAATACGTTTGAAGCCCAGAATGCTGACATAAGGAGATTACTCTTCAAGCACTCCTTCAAGGACCAGTAGCTCTTCCAGGCGTTCTCTGTGCGACGACCGATTTCCTTATCTTGCCTGTTTTCAAAGCTTGCTAGTAGGCCCAGATAGATATACTCAACGACATACTGGATTGCCTGCCCGTCTACTTCAACCCTGCCTTTCGTACCGTTAGACATTATTTGTGTTTTGGAACGGTTTATATGAAGTCCAACCTCAAGACTCGCCGTGCTCAGTTCTTGGAGCATCTGTTGTAGTTCCTGAGACGTT